AGGGAGGGAGGGAGGGAGGGAGTCACACCGAGCGAGTTAGCGACAGAAAAGCTCCCCATTTCCTCCCCCTTTTCTGAACTATTTATTTCCTTGGCAAGCTTGGCCTCTTTGTTTTGGAACCAGTGTCAAATGATTCAGCCTCAGCGGTTCATGACAGGCCTCTGATGGCTCCAAATGGGACACATCAGCATCCCACCGGCAAGACCAGGAACACAACAGCTCACGACTTCACACTGCAATCACAGCGTAAGTGTTTTGTTTTTTTTGGACCATTTCTCGATTTATGTGTGTCATGCTTGCGCAGGGGCCATGCTTAATTCCTCTGTATCGTTCCAATTTTAACGGATGTCCGGAAAGACAGGCTAGCATAAAAACTTATTAAAAAGCCATCACCTGCATTTTGATGATGTAGGTCGAACACCGCCATAGCCCACCACCATGTTCAGATCCTTGGCAAAGAAAGGAAACCACCGCATGTGTTCATGTGTTTCATTATGCGACCATCTTTCCCAAGCTACGGTTTCAGATCTAAGGGCGTACTCACACTAGCAGTATCTCAAATGTATTTGACCGCATTCACAATCAATCCTGGATGTATCTGGCCGCAATTCCGTCCAAAAATACGTAAAAAGGTCGTAGTGTGAGTATGCCCTAAGACAATTCCCCTTGCTGCGCAATTGCTGTTATCGCCCCAACAAAAATCATGTCATGCTTTTGACTGGCATTCATTCCAAGTGGCTCTCAGATCTGATACTCTTCTCCGTGCTTACGATTGCTACACCACCCCGGCAAAAGTCGTGCGATGCCTCCAAAAACGTCGGGTGAGGAAGCGTCGTCAAAACGTGCACACACAAGAAAATAAGTCAAGCGCAACTACAGCCCTCTGCTGTCTGATCCTAGGGAAGGAAAATGAGCAAAACAAGCATTCATTGATCTTTTCATTCCTTCACTGGAAAAAAAATGACCGTCTTTCCGAGGAAGGGCTTTGAGATCTGATGGAATTTGTCACCTTGTTGTGCGGTTGCTGCATCGCCCCGGCAGAAGTCGCCATACCTCCGAAGCCAGGTAAGGAAGTGCCACAGAAGGTCCAAAATTGTATCCACGTAGGACTGCAGAGCCAGCAAGCATGCATAGAAAGAATGAAGACTGATTGTCAGGAACAAGAGCTCAGGGATGACAGGGATGTGTGTGTGTGTGTGTGTGTGTGTGTGTGTGTGTGAGAGAGAGAGAGAGAGAGAGAGAGAGAGAGAGAGAGAGGGGGGGGGGGGGGGGGGGGGGGAGGAGATATATGAGCGCCATTAAACAGGCTAAGTAAGATTTGGGCTCCATTTGGCAGGCACAGAAGGACCAGACTCGTCCAGAGTCTATCCGAAGAACGAAGATGTCTCTGTGGGAAGTTTCAGACTGGACCAGAGGACCCTGGACAGGTGGTCCTGGAGCTGTCCGGCCAGGAGAGACCGGCTAAACAGCCGGTCCCGATAACATCCTCATAACTTTGTAAGGTAATATATAAACATGCACACCCTGCACCACCATTTGAGAGCTTGGGAGAGGAAACTCTTCCTGAGGCAACCACAGCAACCAGCCCAAACTGCCTGGCGCTGTCCGGCGCCGACCGCCTGGCTAAATAGCTGGTCCTGACAACAGAATCCTAAGGCAATATATAAATATATGCACATGGCGATCTGACAGCTTGGAGAGGAAACTCTTTCTTTCTTTCTTTCTTTCTAAGGGAACCACAGTTCGAACTTCGAATCCTAAACTGCAGAACAAACTTTCGATTTGAGCAAACACAGCACAGCATCCCATAACTGCAAAAGTAGCTTTGGAAAAGGTACGCCCCCGAACTGTTGGAATGCAGACCCGAGTTCGAACCAGGATGGTACACAAGCAGAGAAAACTCAGCACAGCATCCCAGAAGTGCAAAATAAGTTTGTTAAAAGGCCCAAACCGTTGGTACGCCCACGAACTGCAAAATAAGTTTTTTGGATAAAGGTAGCAACAGTTGGTGGGTGTACCAACGAGAGTTGGTGGGTGTACCAACGAGAGCCTAGCTCAGTTGGTACACCCACTACTGTCTTCACCCGAATAGAACGCCCGGTCATTATCGCTGCATTTGGACTGAATTCTGCGCCAAATACAGCTATAATGACCGGGCATTCTATTCGGGTGAAGACGGTAGTTGGTACACCCACAAAGTGTTGCTGAAATGCGGACCCGAGGCAATCAGTTGAACAGAATAAGATCATTATCGCTGCACCTGGACTGCATCTGGGTTTGAACCCGAATAGAACGCCCAGTCATTATCGCTGCATCTGGACTGAATTCTGCACCAAATACAGCTATAATGACCGGGGGTTCGAACTTAGACGCAATCAGTTGAACAGAATAAGATCATTCTGGATTACTTCACTTCGTGCCAGTCAGTTAAAAATGACGATATCTTAAGGCCGCTGTCGCCCTTAAAAAAAAAAAAAAAAGTTTGCAAAAGGTGCTGAGGAGCAAGCACGAGGTTCGAAAAAGGTGTTGGGAGACTGAAACACAACGAGGACGGGAGCAAGGAACATAGAGATGATGCATAATCATTGATCAATCGTCAGTGGGAACTTGCTTACACACATGCATCTGTGTAATCATTGCCGGATGCAGAGCTGTCGCCTCGGGCTGCGATATACCCGTGCCTGCACACATCTTCGGTTCTAGAGCTGTTGGGTTGAGCAGCATTGTCTCTAGACTCTTGCCCACATGGTCCAGCAATAGCCTTGCTTGCATGTCAATCACCAATGCCCTGACATCTTGAACCTCCACACCTTCCAACAACGAGCACTTGAACCGATCCAGTACCTGTCGGCCAACGCCATTGCAGAGAAGCAGTGCAACAAACACCAGCAAACAATAATTGAGTTTTTAATAACTTTTTATAATAACTTTTATAAATTTTTTAATTTTTTTTTTTTTTATTAAACAAACAAACAAACCGACCAACCAACCAACCAACCAACCAACCAACCAACCAACCAATCAACCAATCAACCAACCAACCAACCAACCAACAAACAAACAAACAAACAAACAAACAAGCAAACAAACAATGTCAAACACTGATTTATTGGCATTGATTCTATTCAATGACTAAAAATAAATCAATCAACCAATCCAAAGAGTCCAATCCACTGTAACAAAATTATAACATTGATTGTTGTAATGATTTAATAAATTAATATATTAATTTATTCATCAAACTAGTAAGCCCAGCCTAGCTGCTTTGACGCAATTTGACGGACTGAACTTGATGGGTCAGCAATTGCCGATTGGCCACCGTTCATTTAGTTACCCCGTGGGTGTCACACGATACAGTCTACAGATGACACGTGGATAACATGTGGGCATGTGTCACCCACAGCGGAAGTTCTTTGGATTCCACACGATTGCTGATGCCGATTCTCAACGAGGCTGACCTTATGGCCGCGCTAAAAAAAACACATTTGTAAATTGTAAGCTAACAGTTTTTTTTTTTCCAGATAAGTCAGGCTGGATGAAGAAGCACATAAGAAAGAAAGGAAGGCCAATTAAGATCACAAGCTGGTCTTGAACTCTTGACTCCTGATCAATCCCCCTCTGCTGCAGAGTGATTTAATCGGATTCCGGGGTTCACATTAAGAGAGACAGAACGGGAATACCTTTCTTGGCCTTTTTGGCTGAGTAAGATCCAAGTGTAGTATCGATCATTCTGATCAGTTCGATATCTTCTCGGTTGGTCCATCGTGCGAAGCATCAGGGTGCTTGGCATGCTGGAAACAGGCCCGCGCCGGCCCTACGTGAAGGCAGGCCTCCGGAAATTCTTTGCGGCCTATTTTGAGGCCGAGGTGAGCAGAAAGGGGAGGCCGTGGGTTGGTTGCTGCACACGCAGCATCTCCAACCAACCGGTAGCTCGGTTGGTTGCAGATGCTGGGGCCCAGCAAAGATGCTGAGGCCTAGGGCACTTATAGTTGAGCCCCAGTGGAAGGGCCCTTCACGCAGCACCTGGGACAGGGTGCAGCACGTCCAGCCAGGCCCAAGGCTGTCAGAAACATTTTCACGCTGTCCATAGTCCATAGTAGTCATCGGATGTCTGATCCTACGGCCCATCACAAAACCTATGAGGCCTCCTCCTGGAGCCTGGGAGAGACTCGAATTGGAATAGACATTCAATACAGCGATGGTTGAAGTCGAATCTTCTTATCACGGAATCATGAGCTTTCAAGGGAGGCATCAAGCCTCGGGTGTGAAGATCACAAGGCAGGCCCACTACGTAGGATCTGTGCATGTCAGAAGGAAAACGCTGGTAAAGCTGGCAAGAGGCACGGACAAAGAGATTAGTAGATGACCCCCCAAGGAAGGCTCTGCTCTGGCACCCTTGGTCTGTCTGAGTGGTTAAGCGCTTGTGGTAGGGTGCGCAGAGCGAGGTTTACGATTTCTACACGAACGTGTACGACTTGCTGGTCAGCCAACAGACACCAGACTGACACCCCTGACGACAGATAGGGCCTGCAGATGACAAGTTCCTGTTAAGAAGAACAGGAAGCAAGTGCAACCAACAGCTGAATTACCAGAAGCAGAAGAGAGAAGGGGCGGGGAAGGGGGGGGGAGAGCGGGGGAGGGAGGGGGAAGGAGGAGTAGAAAAGAATAATGAGATACAATACTGAAGTCTGAAGTGGTTTAAACTATTTTAAAATTTAAAATTTAAACTGAGCTGCCTGGAAAAGTGTCTGCAGCACACAACATAGCTCTTCCCCCTTGCCTGATCAGACACTCCATCCATCCTCCACGCAGAGAGGAGATTCGCTAATCTAACATCATCATCGAGTACAAATAATGCCTGCATGCGGGTCATCGAAAACATGTCCCCAGACTCCCCAGATAGTTCCCACTTATCTGTGGTCGTAGCCACGTCAACCATCAACAAAATGCAAAAAAAATAAAAAAATCAACGTAGTATTGCCAGCTGATCGTGGGGCTGTGCAACCTACCTACAGTAGCAGCATGGAAGAGAGCCGAGTAGTATTCAGATTAACAAAATGGTACCGTACTACCGTCTATGACTGTATTGGACTCGGAAGGTAGCTTGTATGCATTCATGATGAGGATGCGTAAAACCACAAAATACATTGCATGCATTCATGACCACCTATTCAGGGTTCGCACAATTGGAGAAGGGGAGGAACGACGAGCGTTTATGCCCGAGACCCCGCTTTCTGAACCTCGATTGGACCCACTAGAATGGCAATGGGGCCCCCAGATAAGAGCCAAAGGCAGCACTGCGAAACCACGTACATTGTCCAGACTCACGGTAAAAGGCACCTATAGGATGCTTAGAGCCCGCCGAGAGCTGAAAGACGCGATCATCGATAGGTGGCAGAAACACCTCAATGTGGATAGACACCTTCTTACACCAATACGGTGGTTTCAAGACTGCAAGTGCAGGCCGGCAAAATTCACCTCGCTTCAATGGCAAATCGCTCACCGCTGCCTCCCCACAAACAATTGGCTGATCGACCATACACAGTTGGAGCAACAAGGCAGAGCCCTACCATGGTGCACACACTGCCTGCAGGGATTCCCAGCCAGGAAAAGGCCGGAAACAATTGAACACATTTTTCTGCAATGCCCAACTGCCATTCTAACATGGAGATGGTGGGATAGGATTTTGAGACAGATGTTCCCAAATCAGGCATGGGCCTGGGACTGGAGAGCGATCCTGTTAGGCCATCACCCGTCCTCACAAAATGATACACTCGAAAGTAATATGTTCTCCTTGGGAAGGAAGACGGTCTTGTGGACCCTGTGGTGGCAATGCTGCGCGCTGGTTTTAGAAGAAAATAGGGTGGAGGGAGAAGAAAGAAGGGATCTATTTAAAACCCATTTCCAAATGGAACTGACGCAAAGGTGGCAGGAAACCAAAAGAACGTTAGATACCCTCCACACAGGCAAGGACATATCAAACAAAATTACTCAGTTCACAGAAGAATGGTTAGGGGGGAAGAGGGAGGGAGGGGTAGGAAGAGTACACTGGCCAGGAGAGAAGTGCGGGGAAGACAAAGAGGAAAGCACGCGAGGCGAAATCCCCCGAAATTACCACCTTTCCTTCAAGAACTGGACAGACGTGGACCCTAGCATTCCCATGCGTCCCGCAGAAGACTTCCCAGACCCCTTCCCACCGCACCCGCTGGCTCTGGAGGAAAGGCTCTGAAGAAGAGTGGTCAGACACAGCCAAACCTTATCTTATCTTTCCCTTCTCAGACCTGCAACTCGTTTTCTTTTCCATTACCAGAAGGAATGCTGAGCCTATTGGAGTGGAGGTGGGATTCAGCGGTGGAGGGTGGAAGAGAGGACTCACTGGTGCCCCCCAGTGGTCCCCTCCGATCCCCAAGGGATACCGAATGGAACAGAGGGATTTTTTACGCAAAGAAGAGGAGGCAAAGAGCTCTAGGGTGTAAGGCAGTTGGGGAGAGGGAGGAACTAGTCCTGCAGCAGTAGGTATCTGGCGCCCAGTACAGGGCGAAGAGGTTTACTCCCTGGGCCCCAAAACCTGCACAGCCAAACCCTCGGGCGACAGAGTAACCAACGCTGGCAGGCATCCTTCTCAGTCACATCTACTGTCATGCCCACACCTGCTCAGTCAATCCTCTCGTTTCCAGAGTAATCAATGCTGGCAGGCACCTTCCAGTCATCATCCAAGTACTTTTCTCTGCATCACATTGTATCATACTGTATCAGGGATGCTGGACCCGTTTTCCAGCAGGTGATGCTCCCCACCAATAGATGGAGCCTCTCCCCAGGTGCTAGCGATGTCTGCCCTCAACAGCATCACTAGCATTAACTCGGGTTGGTTAAAAACTGTCTCTTATACACATCTAGATGTGTATGTCGCAATTAAATAAGCAAGCGTCGCAATTAAGAAAAATGCCGCGAATTAAGGACGCAGCGATTTAGAAAAAGGTAGCGCAATTCACGCAAGAAANTCGGTTAACAGCCGACCGCTCTACCGCTGAGCTACTGAGGAAGGCTAACTCTCTTCTATTAAGATAAAGCCCCCCATACCCTATTCTATATTATAAAAAAAAAAAAAAAAAAAAAAAGCAGTGAAGTGGGACCTGGAGTGGGCGGTAACGGGATGTTTGCCTCCTTCCCTGGCATACAACAGAGGTTGGGGTTACGTAGCAGTGGCGATTCGTGCAGTGGCCATATGGTGGATATGGAAAGAACGTAATTCAGTTCTGTTCCAAAAGAGGTATCTTTCCGATGTAGCTCTGAAAAGCGGCATGAAATCCACAGTTCGTCAGATGATCACAGTGGATTGGCGGAAGAAAGTACTTACCAGAACAGGCCCAGAACGGGATAGGGGCAAGACTGTGGTTCTTGCGATCTTGGTCTAAGAAGAACAGATTGGCGGCTGTCTCAGCAGCAGCGGGGAAACTGGTACTGTCAAGCTGGCTTAGATCGGATGGAACGGGAGGCGGAAGAAGCCCAGCAGCAGGCGGAGTAGACCCCTCCTACCCTAGTCATAAATGGGTGGAGTACCAGAGTCAGAGGGTTGAGAGTGGGTGTCAGAGTCCAAGGAAGAGCCTACCTGGTCACTCGGTGGTTCAGAGGACCTTGGAGACATATTTGTAGGCCAGAGAACTCGCAATAGAGTCAACTGCAGGCCGAATTTCCAGGAGTGGTCATTCCTTTTAGCCTTTAGGTGTGATCTTGGTTTTATTTACTCCTGTTGCTTTGTATCTATTAGGCTCAAATTTTCGTCCCCCGGCAGGTTGGTCTGGCCGGACAGTAGGATTAATATAGTCCATGCTGTATTGTTGCAAGCCAGGTTGGTCTGGCCCTGAACTTAGGTCTGGTATGGCACCGGGTTGAATCGTGAGGGCCCCGGCCTCATTAACATTTTTCGTGAATTACAATAATGGGGTTTTGCAAAAAAAAAAAAAAAAGGGGAAAAAAAAAAAAAGTATATTACATACATACATCATTCACACAACTCTCACTCCCCTGCACCCTCAACTCCAAAATGGACAGACATTAAATGACAAGCGCTTAGCCTTACCAAGCTGAAATGCTCCTTATCTCCCAGAGCCTGAAATCCTTCATCCAAAATCGCAGTCATTCCACCAAGTGTCCCTTGACACAATCAAGAGGCAAATTCAAACAGCACAGTAGGGAGCAACTTAGTCAAATATTGGATAAGACTCATAAGAGTGAAGGCAAGAGTAAAGGCAAAAGATGACAAATTGGAGAAGGAAGCAGCTGGATCAAATGCAAATAAAAGAAAGACCTTGGGGGTGGGTATCTTGCTCATTTGAACACCTGAGGGAGGGCGTGAATCTTTCTTCAGTTCTTTTGTTTTGTTTTTTTCGTTCGTTCTTTCAAACAGGGGATACTACCGGTATAATTCCCGGATATAACTGTACCCATCCAACTGGATTTGACATCTGGATCTATTTATTAACAGGTATACATGAGTACATAGTGTAGTAGTGGTACCATTAAGCCACCTTATGAAATTGTGAATAACAAATTGGGGGACTCACCACTTTCACTTCTCCCTAGAGGAAAGTAAAGGCTATGGTGTACCAAAGACTAGGGTGTACGAAAGGGCTTGTCATATCAAAGGTTGGTACACACTAGGGTGTACCAAAGGCTAGGAGTGTACAAAGGCTTGTCATATCAAAAGGTCCCAAACACTAGGGTATACCAAAGAATAGGGTGTACCACGGTGTCGAGCGCATCGGTCCCGCAGGGGGGACCCTCCCGGCCGCGTCACGCAGGACTTCAGGCAGGTCTTTATCCTTTATCACGGTGCAACGGAGCTTTCGTCGCCGCTCCGGCTGAGTGCGCCAGCCATACCTCTCGCGAACCCCTACGACAGGATAGGGCCACGCGAGGTACAACTTACCTCCGCCCAAAGGGTTGTCACCACCCTTGAACGGGCGTATCCCCATCGAGCTAACGAACCACATGCGAAAGCTGGTCAGTTGCAATCGCAGAGGTGGCCCAGCCGAGGGCGTTTCTCGTACGTTGTAGCATAGGGGGTACACGCAGTCCCACGCCTCTATCGGACCCGTACGCGAACCAACGCACTGGGGGGCTGAAGTCCCAAGCAAGGCACGTCGTCGGTCGACTAGGACGCATCCTTCTTACCACGCGTTACACCACGCCAAAGCAAAAGTCAGATTACTCCACAAAACAAAACACTTCCAGTCCCTTTAGTATCCGCCTCATAATCTTTTGACACGGAAATCGGTTCAGCGTCGTGCGACAGACTTAAGATAAAACCGTGCGGACGCAGGGCTTCCTCATATAGACTAGTCATGCATGAATATGCAAGTATGCAAGCAGTCGCAATGATGGCGTACTATGTAGTACCCATAATCGCGTGGCCCTCAGTGATCTCGAGGATCACGTTCGACACTCGAGTGTCGACTGGCACACGCCTTGAGGGGTCAATCTCTCGACGCTAGACAACCGCCAAAGCGGTTGGGAACCACACCATCTTCTGCACCCTGCGGAGAGTGGGTGGTAGACAGGTTTAGACCTGTCGTGGCAGTCAATGCTTATGGCCTCGGAGACGAGCTCCATCATCCAAGGCCTGAAGAGAAGTCAAGGGGTTTGACTTTGACAGTTGCCACGGACTTCAATGTCCAACCATAAAAATTAACAAGCAAAATCACTCAATAAATAAACAGTCATCCCAACACCCATATTAAATCAGAACTCAAGATAAAATAAAAAAGGGGAAGATAAACCCATCACGTATGCAGATCGTGCGACACATGGTTGTCATTGTCATTGCCTTCAAGGTAAGGTTCGTGCGCAAGCTCCAAAACACTAACCTGCATAAAACACAAGCACATACAAAAGCCACATTGCCATACACCAATGTGGTCAACTTTACTATTTTTTGTAACTCACCACGCCTCACACACTCAAGCCCCAACCATTGTCCAACTTTCCATTAAAACCCATCAGTTCTTTATAACGATCATTAAAAGAAGTCTGGTTAAAACCCTCAAAGAAACATATCAAATCTCAGGGCTAAGGCATCAAGTTGAGATACAGGTGTAAGCAAAGTTGTGTCGTGAGCCGACAAGTCGGCAATCAACCAACCGACCTGTTATCAGTGATAACAGAGGATGATCCACGTAAGATCGAGCTGAAACTAATCAGATCTTGAATCGAAATGACCAATACGGACCTGTAACATAGCACAGGTCAAATCCCAATGCTAAATATTAAGTGCATGGAGAATAAATCCCCATATCACATCCCACTCAAACTCTCATAGGACTAAACCTTAAATCACTCTCTCAACGAGCCTCGGAGAATAAGGAAAATGTTGGTAGCACCTTCCCTATACAGGGTGGATTGCCAAGACTTTTCCTATCAAAATATAATTTCTCTCTTCAAAACAAAAAAAAAATCGACAGCGCTTCCTGTAGGAAAAGTGTCTTTTCATGATTTATATAAAGCTAAATACAAAAATTAGAAATAACTCTAACTTCACAAAGTCATATTTTGTTTAACTCCCTGATTTAGTAAAAATTTGGGCAGCACCTCCCCCAAAAAAGTAGGCTTCCCAGATTTTAACTAAGCCAGATATAAAATTCGGACAAAAATTAAACTTTGAAAAGTCAAAATTTGACTAACTCCTTGGTTTTGTAGAAACTCCGGTAACGCTTCCTGTAGGAAAGAAGTTTCTAAATTTTATATAGAGCTAAGTAAAATAAATGATCCCAGAAAATCCGATAATTGAACAAAAAAATGCAGGAATTGACCTAACTCCTACAGCTCCAGCAGGTGGTGAGCATCTAAAGCAACTACCTATCAAACTGAAACTCGGACTAAGTAAACCTCTCATTCAGCCACATGCAAGTCCATACCACAATGGTAAGTACTCTCAACCAGTCCCAAGGTTAAACCTTGTCAACAATAGTTTGTAGTCTCTCAATGATTTATCCCTTTTTACCCAACTTACATAAGGCGTAGAGCTAGACCATTCAACTTAGAAATAAAGTTTAGCTTTGCCATTAAATATACACAAATATAAGGCACCACTACTTTTCTCTTCTTTGGGCATATGACTAGGCGAAACAAAGCCTAGTCGCCCTGAACTGTTTAAGTAGCCAAGTTATATATACTTTTTTGCCCTTAGTCTTTTAAGGTAGCATAAGACTGAACCAATCAACTTAGAAATAAAGTTCAGCTTGCTCCACCTTACCACTAATTAATAGTCTAATACTTTTTTCACTATGATAAGTTATAGCCAGACCATTCAACTTAGAAACAAAGTCTGACTAGCCTGTTCATAAGTAAAATACTAATAGAGTATAGATAAAACTATTCCTTGGTTCCAGCATGTGCGTGGCTCCAGACCAAACCATTCAACTTAGAAACAAAGTCTGGTCCTTCACCTGATTTCCCTCAAAATAAACAAAAGGTGGTTCTGAGCCATTCAACTTAGGAACAAAGCTCAAATCTCTCTTTTAAGAGACAATAAAGAAACAACATAAGGAGACTGGGTCATTTAACTTAAAAGCAAAGCCCAGCCCCATTCATAAAAACCCAAAATAAACCAAGGCGACCAAGCCATTCAACTTAGAAACTAAGCTTGGTCCCTGAAAATGCAGCCACGGGCAGCCCTAGCAAGTCAGAGCAACCAGACCATCCAACTTAGGAACAAAGTCCGGTCCTCCAGGCAGTCAAAATAAACACAACACTGGGCCATTCAACTTAGAAACAAAGAGCAGCCTTTGGTGGACCCAAACAATCACAAGAAAAACCACCTTCCTCCCGCCTTCCCCCAATTCACAACCCTTCTTCAATATGAATTCAGACAACCAACAAAAATGAAACTGAGATTGCACATGCATTCCTTTACTTAATTCTAATTTAAGTCCAGAAAGTCAAACATAAGATCAATAGGGATGCAGGCAGTATACCCAGTCAAACCATAGCAAGATGTAAGGGTTTTAGCTGGGCTTACAGAAGGAGACGAAGATTACCACTTAGTTCCCTGCCTCCAGAACCTCGCCTACGTTCCGACAGAGCTCCCGCAATCGGTGGGGCGAACCTCCCACAGACGCCTTGGCACAGCTTACGGGTTTCAATCCCGCCTGCCGCCTTTCTCTTTGAGCCAACAGATTAGACTGACAGTAAGAAGGGCGGAGTGAGAATCATCAAGTCGCTCAGATACACGAGAGGTACACTCAGACTCCCGTTAGAGGGCCTTTACACCTTGGTACGCCTAAGGACCCCGCAATGGTGGCCAAAACGATCTATGTCGGTCAACCCGCAGCCAAAACGCCGAACAGTCGACACTCTGACGAGCCTCCAAGTTGCAATGGCACCCCCTGTGTAGAGCCCGATCACTTCCTCCAAGTCAGAATGTCATGCCCTCTATAACCGAAATGCCCTCGCATAGCCTATAGGTACAACGTTTGAATAGAACACCCCGTCTCTCTCCTATGCTCGGATCTAAATCCAGGTGGACTGCAATAATGCGCAGTGATAGCTCAAGTGGAGCAACAACGGCTGCTTTCCCAACCAACTGCAACAGTTTCCCTTGTCCATAATCACCCCAACAACCACATCCCTTCTTCTCTCTTGGTATAGCTTTGGTTGCCGCCAAGCAGGAAGTCGCACTGAGGGCCAGGAAGTTCGACACTGCCCAAAAAACAGAATTGCACAGATATTACACCAACCGAGAACCAAGGCCCTGAAGCCGAGCATCAATGAGAGCATACTCTCGCCACTACCAACACAAGTACCCAGAGCCCTTTTCTCCGTCTGGCGCTCGACGCCCAGACTACGATCACGCAGCTACTACCAGCCTACAAGTTGACAAGGCAGTTGATGAAGCCTGCGGCTGAACTGAAGTACGTGAAGACATTGACCTCGTAGACAATCGCAGGACCAGGTACTTACCCTCACATGGTCGTCATCTTCATCTCTCTCACTCTCCCTCTACTCGTCGCCCTCTTCTTCTGCCTCTCTGCTGCAGCACCTTATATATGAGTGTACCTGGCCGTTTGCTTGGCCAGATTCAGTCAAAATGAGGGAAGCTAAACCGCAGGGGTGGGAAAGCTAGAATCACGACGACGAAAGAGAAACCTTCATTACAATCGTCGCATGGAAGTAAGTACCATCACCATGTTAGTAAAAAAACAGGAAATGAGAATGAATCGCCCAATAGAAATCGGGCAGATTCATTCCTCACAGGGCCGCTCTAGATCTTCCTATCTTCTAGCTGTGCTACGATGAAATCACACAGCAGGAATGAGAATGAGGCCTCCCCTAGACAGGAGATAATGCCACCGGTTCGATCCTTCGCGTTGCTGTCCCCCGAACTGCTGCCATCGATCGTGTGCGCGCTCCTACCCCCTCTCCTCCTCGTTCACCTCTAGGATGAGCAAAATCGAGATGAAGTTTCCTCTAAAACATGGCTTGATGCAGGAACACTTTGCTACTCCACTCCTAGGAGCAGCTACACCATTCCATTCCGCTAGATTCACGGCCCCATCTACAGATTTCCCGTTGCCAATCAGCTCACCTATGGCCAGGACCCCTGCAGCGAATCCTAGCCTTCCCGTTTCTATAACAGATCGGCCGCAACGCTGTTTCCCGCATCAAGTCGAGCCATCACACATGCAGTTCTTATCGCTCGTTTTTTCGATTTCACTGCCCAAACACAAAATCCGCCACAGCTATCAGGCTCGCGATCCTCCCAAATCCCAAATTCAACCCTTCGCTCGCTCGTTTTCATTGGGAAACGAGCAAGCTATACCATTGCTCCACCTCAGTCTTCGTCTCCTCCACGCACCACCTTTTTCTCCTAACTCCTATACCACTAATCCTATAGCAAAACTAACCTCGCCATTCGACTCGCAGCTACAGAAAAACCCCATTTAGCACTCTCCCTCGCCCCATTCCGTGGAGAAATGAGGGAGATAAGCATTTCTCACCTTCCTTCCTTGTTCGTTTTCGCCATCTCCCGCACACCACTTTTCTCTTCACCCTCACTCTACACCCCTCCTACCTCCGAACTGACTTTGCCAAACTACTCGTCTTGCTTTAAAACCCCAGTCTAGTCTCTTTACTCACCCGTTTCCATCAAGGAACGGGTGAGTAACATGATCCTTGCTTCCGCCATTAACAGCTTCCTCTCTGTCGCTGCGTTCTTTCCCACGAATATGGGCACCTGGCACCAAATCCCGTCCAAGTTCATCCACACTTTCTTCCTTCCTTCATTGCCCGTCTCTCCTTTTTTGCTGCAAACTGTGAGCTAACCCAGATACCACTACGGGCGGTGACTGAATATGGGCAGCGGGGCGGGGGCCGTGGAAGTCAAGATTCGTTAAGGAGTGTGTAACAATTCACCTGCCGAATCAGCTGCCCCGACGAATGGCCCTGCACTGCTCGCAATATGCTCGACTGTAGCGGCTGCATCGATGCTGCGATGAGTGGGAGGGTGCAGGCCCTGCTGCAAGGCCTTGCAGTGTGAACTAGGTGAAGCAGGTCCCAATGAAGATCTTGGTGGTAGTAGCAAATATTGAAATGGGACTTCGGGAACCGAAGTGGAGAGGGGTTCCGTGGGGGCTGCTACTACAGCGACCTCGGCACACTGTGCTCCGGGCCGCTGCCTGCCTCCCTTCGGCCCTAACGGGCATGCTCACACACAAACCCCTTTCACAGCGGATTACGGGGGACGAACGCTGCTCCTGCAGGAGGGTCCACGCCACCCTGGCTCCTTCCTCCTCGTGGGCTGTTCCCCCACCGGCTCGCATGCACGTTGAACTCCCAGGCCTGAGTTTCAAGACGGGCGGATAGAGGAATTTTACCAGCATCCATAACACGCAGGAAACCGAGCGGGCCCGCCGAAAGAGGCGCGTGATCAAGGTCCTCGTCTGCCGTATCGGCCACCTGCGCCCAACGACGTAGCAACTGGGCCAGGCCCGTTGGTCTCGACATCGGCCTCAGAACCAATCGTCAACAAAAGCGGGCGTGGCAATAAAATAAAATAATGATAATAAAAATAATAACGAATAAAAATAGATGCGAGGGAACACAAAAAGGGTAACGGGCCGAGGGGCCTCGCATCCCTCTGGCCTGCGACGCTGCTGGCACCCAGGCCGTGCATGGTTGCATCTCGCCGTAGATACCCCGCGCGTGCCGCTCACCCGGGCGAGGACCTGAGCTTCCGCCCCCACACACGCCATCACCCAGATGATGCTGCATTGGTGTGACTTGCAGAAAACACGACAAATACCCTTGTAATTGGTGTGACTTGCAGAAAACACGCCAAATACCAGGGTATTTGGTACGACAACGGTGTACCAAACGGCTTGTCATATAAAAGGGTACCAAAGGCTAAGGTGTACCAAACGCTAGGGTGTACCAAAGGCTAGGGTGTAGCAAAGGCTAGAGTACCAAAGGCCAGGGTGTACCAAAGGGCTTGTCATATCGAAGGGTACAAAAGGCTAGGGTGCACCAAAGGCTAGGGTGCACCAAAGGATAGGGTGCACCAAAGGCTTGTCATATTCAAAGGGTAGGATGTATAATGCATAGGAATTTATAAATAATTTATTTGTGAAAGGAACTTGCACATCCCGACAGCCGGTTTGCAGTGATGTGACTTTATGATGTCATGACGCTAACAATCATCGGATTCTAGACAAAGTGGGTGATGTAATTGGAATGCAGATTTAGACCTCCAGAACAATCTGAACACCTAATACAAATCAATAATGTAGTGTCAGACCGAAATCAGGATGCAGCGGGTAGGGTAGCACAAAAAGACAAAAAGGATGTACCTTTGAGTAGGCCATGCTAGCATTTTAGGGTCCAGTAAGCTTAAGTGTAGATGCCGGTCCAGTAGGCTAAAGTCTAGGGCATGCAAAGCAAGATATCAGACTGCAAGGATGGTCCCCCGGACCCCCGGATTCCCGCCAAATGCGGCGAGGCAACCAGTACCCTGGAAAGTGCCCGCAGTGGAGTGCTGCTGCAGTGTAACTGAACAGGCAGCCAGGCACTCCACCTCATTCTCCTAGTTGGAAGCCATGAGGCTGCTGGAGGCGCTCACCAGTGGGGTGAAGTCCTGGTTGGAGGAAGGAGGCGGAGCTTGGCCCCCACCTCAGCTAGGATGGAGGTGACCAAGGTGGAGTCACCTGAGTACGGTCGTACTGAACAGGACTTTGCTAGGCACGAGCATTGACTTGAAAAAAAAGACAAAAAATAGGAAAAAAGAACCCTTTTCAGTGCCAATTCTGCTGAGCCATGGTCTGAAAAGAGAGCGAGCCGAAAAATGATTCCACGCTGAATTTAATGTTGGGCTGGCCGAATTGCTACTGGATTTGATGTTTGATCCTATGTCGCATCACGTACGCGTACTCAGAGTACGTACTGGTGTACACGTACTCCACCCCTCAAAATGACTGCAGAGTGTTTTTATATGCGTACTCCAAACTTCGATGTTTGAAGATTCAACGTCGGAACTTGAGACTGTGTCTTATATGATTATATCATTGAGTTTCGGACTCTCAGACAATCAATTTGAAATTTTGGAGAATCAACAACAACAAGAGGAAAAAAAGGACAAAGAAGAAGAAGAAGAAGAAGAAGAAGAACAACAACAACAACAACAAGAAGAACAAGAACAAGAAGAACAAGAAGAACAAGGAGGAGGACGAGGAGGAGGAAGGAGTAGTAAGGAGAAAGAAGAAAGAATCAAGAAGAGGAAGGAGGAGGAAGGAGAAAGAAGAAAGAAGAAGAAGAAGAAGAAGAAGAAGAAGAAGAAGAAGAAGGAGGAGGAGGAGGAGGAGGAGGAGGAGGAGGAGGAGGAAGGAGTAGTACGGAGAAAGAAGAAAGAAACAAGAAGAGGAAGGAGGAGGAAGGAGAAATAAAGAAGAAGAAGAAGAAGAAGAAGAAGAAGAAGAAGAAGAAGAAGAAGAAGAAGAGTGGAACAAAATACAGAGAACATTAGCATGGGCCCTGAGCATTTACTGATGACAAGCACAAATAAAACGGGGGGGGGCAGAGCGCGTGTCCCAAGACTCCCAACCATGGAGTACTGCAGTTGACCCAACATCCTGACCGGACACCCCCAAACCGAACAGTCTGGCTGGCTGGGTTCTTGCTACTTAGGTTTGCACTAGAGGCTGAAGTGTGTCTCTTCATTTCAGAAATAAAAATAACTTGTGGTGAAGCCATCATCATAAAGTTCATCAGGGTCCTATTCCACCAGCAAGTCTCTGAGGAAATACAATGGAATTGTAGGAATACACCACACGCTTTCCCTCCTTATGGCCAGGGGAACCCCCACCCACAGCATTGATTTGACAGAGCATTGATTTGACAGAGCGTATTCATTAGTTATAGGGGAAACTGTGGGGCGGTCACAAAAAAACAGTTTGAAAATTGCATTTGAAAATGAGGAATGCATACAAGCTAGATTTCCGGTCAGGTACGGTCAAGGGGGGGGGTATGTTCGGGGGAATGCCGCAAGTGCAATTTCAAACAGTTTTTGTGACTGCCGCGTGGTACCCCTTTATTAAATTTGAAATACAAAGTTTACAAACAACAAAGCATCAAACTTCATCAAAGTCACAGGTACTCAAAGCCAACAATAGCAGCATCTCTTTAACAAACAATCAGAGCGACCCCACAAAAAATACGCTACCTGTTCCCTCCTCTGCGCAATGATGAGCAGATATTATCACATCCCACCAATTCGTGTCTGTTGTAAAACTCCACATCGCTCTGTGAACGAATCAACACATGAAACAAAATGGAAAAAAAAAAAACTGGCGTTACTAGTTTAGTAAACTAATTTGGGGTCTTTGGGCATAGAAATCATAAGAAATGATATGTATTATGTAGCCCCTCGTTTGTTGTCCTCTTCTCCCTCTCTGCCTACGTTTACCAGGAAGCTCTGTTTGACGATGTATAACATATATGAATAAAAAAGCTCGAACCTTTTTTTTCCTTTTTTAAAGTAATATTTTATTGCTAACAAGCCCAGTGCCGAAGGCTATAAAACAGCGCAAGCACAGTCTTCTGCAACAGGAGCCACGAGGCGTCCAACCCGCATCTTCAGGCAGAGCCCCACCACTGACTATGTAATAAAAATTATATGAACAAAAAAAAGGTGAAGCCATCACGTTTGATTCGCGACTCCCTTTCGGAATCTTTCACAAAAAATTTGGGCAGCTTCAAATCCGCTCTATCTTTGCCCCTGACAAAATGCACCGACAAAGGTCATGCATGTATACAACAGATCTTCACGGTCAGTGTTCCATACCGTATAGGTGCAGACCAGAACAAGAACCGACCTTTCAATACAAAGTATAAGATAGCACAGCGGAAGACTTAGATACCAGTGATCCGAACAATCAATGTTGTAATGCAGCCCTGAACATACATCATCATCGTCGTTTCATACTGTGAATGGGTCTGGCGCTTCACACAGGAAGACAGCGCCAGCCCAGAACATGCACAGACGAGGAGGAAGGGGATAGACGAAGAGGAGGGGAAAGATGGGAATGTCGTCAACACCAAGTCTTCGGCACAAGCCCAAATAGTCCCTCGTCGAACTGTAGGAATCCCAGATGTCAAGTCTGGATCCAATGTCGTCAAGTCTCCAGTCACAACTCTGTCTCTCTCTGTCGTAGTCGGAGAAGTCAGGTGGCGAGAGGGTGAGAAGAGAA